TTTATAGCTCTAGATTAAATAAGTATCTTTCAATATTTATCGTAAAGATAGAGGCTGCCTGGCCGGCATTCATAGTTCTGTGGAAAATAGATACTTCGGTCAGTTAGAGTTTTTTATTTTCTCAACGTTTCGACAAAAATCTTTTGTCTTCGTCAGGAGAAGAACAATTTTTAACGCCTTGCCAAATATTTTATTTTATTTACTTCTCCTATAACGCGAGTTTTTACAACGCGATAAAAAAATTGCGACAAATTTATTTATACAACGCGAATTTTCGTATAACGCGTTATAAAATAAAACAATTTACCCTAACAACATTTGCGTTATACAAGTTTTATTTCGTACAACGCGAATTCCTATAACGCGATTTCATACAACACGGAACACATTAATCGCGTTATAGGAGAGTTTTCAGAGTTGAATATGATAAATAAATTTCAATATTCGATTAAACCTTCAGTTATTTATTTACTCCGTACTATAAGCTTGCATGTCAAATTGTAAATTGTTATTTAATCCAATACCTCGATACGCAGAGTGTCCCATTTATATCGTGAAATATTCGAGACACAAATATTTGTCCCGGAGACTAAATCAAACGAGACAGGTTTAGAGAAATGAATATGCAAATTTAATAAAGAGCTGGTGGTAGATTGGAATGGAAAAGCCTTGAGGGGCTGGCAACAATTCCACCTGTAGACCTAATTAACTTAGTTCTGATTGGTTTGTATTGTAAATATATCCCTCTTTGGAATATACATCATATATATGTATGTGTGTTTAATTAAAAAGGCATATATTGAATCAAAATCAAATATATATGTATATGTGAAAATAATTAAAAATAGGGGGGGAAGTCAGGTGTTGATATTGTGGCGAAGAAATAATTTATTATTTAATTTAATTATTCAACGAAAATATTTGAAACAGATTTAAAATTTTACATTTGCTATATATATATAAATCATCATTTAGTTGTCTAGCTTGCTTGCTCGATATTCTCTAGCTGTAGATAGTTTGGTTGAGTTGTTGATATTTGTCGACTGGTCGTGGTGACGTCATCAATAAATACTTTCACACCTTCAGATATACAAAGACTTGATTTCTACGCTACAATATTAAAAACAAAACGGCATATCCTGACAACCCACATGTGTATTTTAGATCACGGAACAAGTTAAATAAACGTTTAGTTTATTTTTGTTCCACTAGATGGCGCTCTGCCATCTAAAAATGCTCATGTGAGCGGTAACGATATGCCCTTTAGGTTTTTAATATATGTATTTATGAAAAAACGATAGAAAAAAATAAAAGATAAGTAGGTCAGGTGGTGATATTAAAAATAAAGAAGGCATCTCCTGACCACGAGCACATGTGTTTTTTAGATGGCAGAGCGCCATCTAGTGGAGCAAAAATAAACTAAACGTTTATTTAGCTTGCTCCGTCATATTTGGCCAACCCAATTTCTTGATAAATCAAGAAAAGCCATCCACGAACGCGTTTCGCGCTGTTAGCGCTCGTCAGCGTGGAGTAGGCTGTAACCACTGCGACCAAAAATATTTTTTGGTCCCAATGGCTTCCCGAGAAATCAAGAAGTGGGTATTTAAGGCCAAATTTGCGTAAAGACGCTTAACACATGAAAAAACAATTTAAAAAAAGATAGTGGGTCAGATGTTGATATTAAAAATAAAGAAGGCATCTCCTGACCACGAGCGCATGTGCTTTTTAGATGGCAGAGCGCCATCTAGTGGAGCAAAAATAAACTAAACGTTTATTTAGCTTGCTCCGTGATATTTGGCCAACCCAATTTCTTGATAAATCAAGAAAAGCCATCCACAAAAATATTTTTGGTCGCAGTGGTTACAGCCTACTCCAGGCTGAAGAGCGCCAACAGCGCGAAACGCGTTCGTGGATGGCTTTTCTTGATTTATCAAGAAATTGGGTTGGCCAAATATCACGGAGCAAGCTAAATAAACGTTTAGTTTATTTTTTCTCCACTAGATGGCGCTCTGCCATCTAAAAAGCACATGTGCTCGTGGTCAGGAGATGCCTTCTTTATATTTATTTATATAATGCAATATGCGCACCAACTGTTATGAGAATTTGAAACTATTATAGACACGTATGATTCTTTTAAAATTAAACAATTTTCTACTGCCTTTACTGCAATCAAATGCTGGGAGGGTTCACCACTGATGAGCCAGGCCCTCCCATTGATTATTAATTGCAGTAAGGGCAATAGATAATTGTTTAATTTTCAAAGGAATCATACGCGTCTATATTAGTTTCGAATTCTCATATATTTTTATAATACAAGATTGTAGGATAATGGTATTTGTGTTTTAAAAAGGACGTTTTTTTGCGTTAAAACCTTTCATTTTGTATGTACGGATAGATATAAAAGAATGTGGAATAATACAAGCTTTAGGAAAATTTTGACTCGGTGTTCTGAACAGGGATGATAAACAAAAATGAATGCATTCTTATAATACATTTTAAAGGGAGAAGTGCCCTTTATTCACCATAGTATTTTTCAACTAAATACTCATACACTCATGAACAAAACTTAAGAAAGTTGTACCTTTTAGCATGTATATCGGGATTCAGACAATAACTCTGAAAGATATTACAGTGACCTTCATTGAAGACACACGAGATAACCGAGTGTGAACAAAATTGACTCTGTCTCCTTCAAAAAAAAAAAAAAGACGACCGGCGATATCAAATACTTTTCAATTCCTTAAGCTTTTTCAATGAGTGTATCTAAGGATGGTAAAAAGACCGTGTTGCCTTAACTTCTTGTGCAAATCATAATTGTTCTACCCTTTTGATTCTTACACAATCCATTTCAAAAAAGCTTTTTTTACAACCAGTAAATAATACTATTTTTCTTCCTTACGTAATGAAACATCAAACTGGCGAAACTGCTGGAAGTATTCACTACTGATTACCAAACCCAGTAAGAGCAGAGGGAAGTTGTCTTTAATTGTATAATATATAAATTCGCCTTGAATAGTTTCAATTCTCAAATACAGATGGCGTGATATTTCTCCATGTATATTTACATTTTATTTTAAATCAAAATGTAAAGTGGATTTCAAATAACGAGGAGTCGAATTTCACACGGAACACTTTCTAAAATCACATTAATGGCCCAATATTTTGTTTCACAAGTCCAACCTAAACAAGTGAGTGCAAGTAACCAAACGGGGCTCTGGTATATTATTATTGCAAAGTTACAACATATGTAAGTACGCAGCATATTTACAGAAGTACGATAATGACAAAATCATACCCCCACCATTATATTATCACGTGGAAAATTAGGGAAGACAAAAACTTCAGGAGGAGATAATATTTTATTTCAGGCAAGGACAAACTATGAATGGTAAACAAAAGTTAAGCCACGAAGGAAATTTACAGAGTAGCAAAATATAAACATAAAAATGACCACTCTGTTATAATAAAAATAATATAATTAATAAATACTTTAAAGGCGTAAGATTCTTTTCTGAAATTAAACAATTTCTGCTGCCCTTACTGCAATGGAAAAATTAATGGGAGGGCCTGGCTCATCAGTGGTGAACCCTCCCAGCGGTTTCGCCAGTTTAATCTACCATACCGCTGTTATATTGCATTTTTGGAACCTCCTTTTATAGTGATACTGTTGGTAGACTCTAGGAATGGGTATTTTAGATGAACTATGGACATAAGCTTTGAGGACAGTAGAATTACATACATTTATAAATATATAATATGCTTCGAGCAATCGCTCTTCCGCAAATATCAAATTGTGTCTTTTATTAGAATATTTATAATATGATGCATTTGCGCGCCATCTGTTATCAAAATTCGAAACTATTTTAAAGGCGTAAGATTCTTTTTTGAAATTAAACAATTTCTACTGCCCTTACTGCAATGGAAAATTCTTCTAAAATACCCATTCCAAGAGTCTACCAACAGTATCACTATAAAAGGAAGTTCCAAAAATGCAATATAACAGCGGTATGGTAGATTAAAGCCAGGCCCTCCCTTTAATTTATCCATTGCAGTAAGGGCAGTAGAAATTGTTTAATTTCAAAAAAGAATCTTACGCCTTTAAAATAGTTTCGAATTTTGATAACAGATGGCGCGCAAATGCATCATATAATAAATACTTTGTTACAATATTATCCTACCCTATGTATATGTGATAAGCAAAATGGAAAATAAATATGAATTATTTACAGTATATATACATTTTATATTATTTCATCTACGCTCGAATATAAGACACAAGATCAAAAATAAAAGTTTATATTGTTTTGGAGTCAAAGTGTACAAGTATACGAAAACAAAGTTAACAATACATCTAAATTTGAAATTTGAAAAAAAAAACATGTTTTCCTTTCTCACTGATGAAATTTTAGGTTTTGTTATATTTTGACTTTTACCGAGTCTTTCAAAATACAAGCATTTCTCAACTTGAAAAGTTTCATTACAATGTGTATCCCATTCATGGATGTATATTGACAAAGGTCTGGTAAAAATATGTTTATATAAAGTTTCTCTTTTAATGTAGTTGTTTTTTATCTCTACACACAAATACTACAGAGAGTCCCCACTTATCCCGTTTGTAGAACGACATTTGAAAATTATCCCGCATGTGTTTCTTTTAAAGGAAAAATCGAAATTTATTTTAAGGAGAAATAACGACTATTTCTAACCTTTAGGATGAAGTATGATGAAGATGAAGTACACCTATCCCCCGATTTACACGATACTTGTTTTACACGTTTTCGCTTTTACACGGTTTTCCAAATAAGTTTTTTTTTGTTGTTGTTTTTATCGCACTATACTAAATGCTACTGTGATTGAACACATGCGCTGTGTATACATCTCACGAGGAATTCCGAGTAGTACACCTATCCCCCGATTTACACGTTTTCTCAGGAACGTATCTACCGTGTAAATCGGGGGATAGGTGTACTTTATATAATATTTTACGAACAGAAAAATATGTCCAGGGTAGCCTAGTGGACATGGCATCTGCCCGGTAAGCGGAACACTGTGGGTTCGGTTCCCATCCCTGTACACTTTATTTTTCCGTTTATCATTACTCTTCACAATTCATCCTTTCATACTTCATCCCTAAGGAAAGAAATACTCGCTATTTCTCCTTAAAATAAATTTCAATTTTTCGTTCAAAAGAAACACATGCGGGATAATTTTCAAATGTCGTTCTACAATCATAAGCCGTATTATATTGTATTATAAATTACTATCCCGTTTATTTCGTTATTTCCAGTCAATCTCTAATATCCCGTATTTAGCGATATACAGCTTATTGTTTGCTTTTGGCTATGATCTTGTAAATAACCTTGCCATAATAAGGTTTTACAGTATTTATATATAAATAATAAAGTTTCCAATTAGAACTTTTCCATTCAACTCTATAGAAATAACTCATTTAACTCAAACCAACATTAGCAAACGAGGGCCAAACACAACGAAACGCGTTCAGACGATGATTTTACCAAGTAACGTACTGATGGATTTATGTAATACAGAAGCTTGCTGTATATTGATAACGTCTATCACTTGATATAATAAAATGTACCCCCCTATATGCAGTTAGAATTAAATTAATCTAGACAGATAATGAAATACATACACACGGGGAGAATAATTCGCATATACAGTAAGAATAAATTACATACATATAGAGAATTAAAATGATTTACATATAGAGTGAGAAAATATTACATATATAGTGGCAAAATGATATATACATAGGCACTAAGAATAAAGTATATGTTGAGTTAAAATAATTTGCATATATTGAAGTGAAAATATACTGCATATACAGTGGGAATAAAATACATATACATCAGACATAAAAATATATATAATACGTATATATGTTGTAATATTAATGATGATGAGTAGAGCCGACAAGTTCACAGTGGGCTCCTCATCCAACATGTAGTCATAGGCCTGAAGTGGAGGCGTACTAGCCTGAAGACAAAATAAGACCAAACGCATAAGAGTATGGTTACTTCGATCTAGGGGATGGTTTCCGGGAAGGGTGAGACTAAGGGGAGTCCTTGGAACACTCTGGTCAATCGGGCAGCATGACAGCTAACTATTCTCCTACCCTGGTGTCTGTGCTGGGTACCTCCTCTATCTGCCCTCTCCCTCAGAGAGCCCCGGCTTATATCATATTGGTGACGTCAGAGGGGGAGAATGTTCAATCAGGGACCGTCACGACCGATGTCTATAAATCTTTCTTGTTTATATTATCCTTCCCGGCTCACCGTCCCTTTTTCTCCCGGGCATCCGTTTTATTGACGCCTTTTAGTAGTTACATATGAGTTTGAATTTATATACAACATATACAATACGACATATATATGTATTGCGTAATAATAAGGTACATAGCAAGTGAGCTCGATGTAAATATAATTTAGGCACAAGCCTACCTCGCCGTGGCTTGCCTGGAATATTCGGAAGTGTTTATGCAGATAGCATTGTATATTGGGTCTCCGAATAGTTCTGCGTATTTCAATGGATATTCCCAAATAACATTCTGAGATAGGTGCAAACCTTTATTAAAAAATGTACACTCATAGACCAAATAATTATGGATGTGGCAAGTATTTGATACGCCGGTCGTCTGATTTGAAAGAGACAAAGGCTATTTTGTTCACACTTGTTTATCTCATGTGTCTTCAATAAAGTTCACTGTGTATCAAATATCTTTCAGAGTTATTGTCTGAATCCCGATATGCATGCTAAAAGGTATAACTTCCTTAAGTTCTGTCCATGAATGTATGTGCTATATTAATATTGTCATGGTAGAGAAGACAAGTATTCCGAAAGTTTAATTGAATTAATTTATTAATTAAATCTATAGAATGCAAAATGTGTAAATCAATTTTACAAGTGATAATCTACGAACATGGAAAGGTGTGATGACAAGACAAATATTTATGATGATAAACTGACAACAGAGTATTCAAAATAATTATTCAGTAACAATATTATGCATTTGCGCGCCATATGTTATGATTAATTCATACTTTTTTGACGAAATATTTTGATTGTTTTTAAATTAAACAATTTTCTACTGCCCTTACTGCAATTAGAAATTTTCGGAAGGGCCTGGCTCATCAGTGGTTAACCCTCCCAGCGGTTTCGCCAGTTTAATCTACCATACCGCTGTAATATTTCATTGGACTGTTTTTACCTTTATAGTGATACTAAATCTGACCTCTTGGAAATGGTATTTTAAATAAACTATAGACACAATCTTTAAGAGAACAGTAGAAAGACAAATAATTATAAATATATAATATGCTTCGAGGATTTCTCTTCCCGCAAACAGCAAGAAAAGGTCGTTTGTTCTAAAAAAAGGTTTTTATAGTTTGCGTCGGTTTATATAAATGAACATTGTTTAACTAGAATCTATAAACTAATATCTAAAGAGTTTTCAGTGGTATATTAATAATGTAAATACATCGTATTGAGGATGTAAAACCGATAAATTGGGAATATCTCTTTAATTTTCTAACAGGGGAAATGTGTTTAACTAATTATGTTTTTTTTAGATTATTACCTTTGTGAGGGGTGTTGCCTAAATATTGTATTCAAAACCGAAAATTGTAATCTCCATTGCTACGGTCTTAAATGAAGAAACTACTCTATACTATGAATGTCGAACAATAAAATGACAAATCACTCATTTTAAATTAACTCAATTCTAAACTAGACAATAAACACAGTAAACAAATACAATAAAAGGAGTAAATTTGAGATGGCAATTACTGTTGTCAAAAATTATTTCAAAACATAAATGTCGACTCAATTTCTCAAGACTGGAAGCTGATATATGTGGAATTGTTGTCAGAACAAATTTAGTTCGAATAGTTTTGGAACAGGAAAAAAAAGAATCTTCTTATATACGTAAGGCTATAAAAATTAATTTACCAGAAATTATATAAATGATTGTAAATAACCTATTTTTATGGTTTAAGTAAAATTTTTATTTCTCTATTATACAACGTGGGCATGTAAAGGATAAAAACCTCTGGATGAAAAGTCAGTTTTTTTAACTATGATAAAACTACAAACACTTCATTTATATATAAAAAAGGGCATACCTGTATATAATACAATATAATGCGGCTTATGTTTGTAGAACGACATTTGAAAATTATCCCGCATGTGTTTCTTTTGAACGAAAAATCTAAATTAATTTTAAGGAGAAATAACGTGAATTTCTAACTTTAGGAATGAAGTATGAAAGGATGAATTGTGAAGAGTAATGATAAACAAAAAAATAAAATGTCCAGAGATGGGAATCGAACCCACAGTGTTCCGCTTACCGGGCAGATATCATGTCCACTAGGCTACTCTGGACATATTTTTCCGTTCGTAAATAATACCTGGAAATGTTAAAGAAAAAAAAAAAGAATTTGACGCGAACAATATAATAATATCTATAAATGATATCAGTGCTTTTCACTTTAAAAATGAATTGAAACAATCTGTTTTATTGATATTTTATGTTCAGAACGCAATTAGCAATGTCGTTCAATGTATCACAACTCTCTTCTTCTTCTTTCTTATCTCCACTCAATCATATTAGGGTGTCAAGGTTGTAAAGCTTGAGACTTTTGAAGGTGTCTGTTGACAACCATCATGACTGGGTGAAGTAGAATACATCTGCCTTTGTCATTAAGACTGGGAGCACTACTCTGTGGCAGGTCGACTTAGCTCCAAAAGAAATGGACGCCTCTAACATGAGGAACAGACGCCATGTGCAGCCACTCCTAACATGGAGTACAAACGCTGCTCATCCTGTATCCCTGGAGCCCTTACAGGGTACTATCAGCCAGACCAGCTGAGCCCAGGTTTATTTAGCGAGCTTGTTACTGCTCCCCCTCCTCCTTTTTCATCCGGGCTTGGGACCGGCAAAGGCAGAGTTTGTCACACTACTAACTAATAATTCGAACAAAAGCCAAACTATATACCATGATTTTGAGCTATGGCCTTCACCAGTGCAGGCTCAACTACAATTGCATGAGATCCTAAGGAAGAAATTATGACATAGGCCAAATCAGATTATTGCTGGTGACAAAGTGAAGCCGATTTAACATTAAATTATATTAACAAACAATAATAAACATTGAGAGGAGCCTCTTGTGTAAATTTCTTTAATACCGCAAGCTTTCGAACAAAACGTTCTTCAACGGGCGTGGATAGTAAACCGTACTAACATATTATTAGAGGAGAAAAACTAATATGTACACCAATAAATTTACATACTAAAGAGATAATAGCGTAAAAGAGAATACAGCATAAATATTTAAAATTGAAATCTGCATGTTACAAACGTGACAACGAAAATATGCAATAAACTTTACATGAGACTAAAACTAAGGTAAAAATTATTAAAACGGCGACATCCTTGCATTAAAAGAACATAGAATATAACAGTATATGGAAGCTAAAACCCAAAAGGCCAAGGCAGGGGGGGGTCCCACCCAGTGCTACCACTATCTTTGAGATATAAAAGGGGGGGAGGGGGAGGTGAAAGAAAGGCTATTTATAGAGTATCTGGTAAATGTCTGGGAGGTCTATTCTACGGTTACAGCTATTGTTTTGTGTGGAGATAATAGATTCTAGGCAGAGTCTGTGATGTTTGTTATATATGTGTCGGTATTTAACTTGAGGATGGTCGAGATCAAAACTATGGCCTGTTTGAGTTATATGTGTGAAAATTGAGGATTTAGGATCTTTATTGCGGATTTTGCGTCTGTGTTCTGAAATTCGGATGCCAGTGGTTCTGCCTGTTTCCCCAACATAAGAAGTTGGGCAATTCAGGCACTGTACGGTATATACTGCACCGGTAGAGTTTATGGGTAGGGTGGGTTTATCAGATTTGGTGATGTGATGTCTAAGGATGGTGGCTAAGTTGGGGGGACTATTGTAGAGAACCTTTATGCCGTATGGACGTAGGACTCTGGATATAGATACTGCGGCAGGGGAGAACGGAAGCCAACATGTGGCCCTATGAATTGTAGTGGTTCTA